ATAAAAACGAACCAATAAAGTTAGCGTGACCATAACGTTTCGGATAAATAATTATATATAATGATTATTAAAATGATAACATCATGATGTCTGGATATTATGAAACACATTTATGAAGCAATATATATATATATATATGACATTTATATAACATCACGTTTTTTTTACCGGAACATTCGTAAGACAATTTCAATGACTATTTGTGTATATAAAATAAATCTCACATTACTTCAACATTTGACATATTTCAATAATAAAAATAAAATCGGTAAATCGATTTTTTTTTTGGTTTTTTTTTTGTTTTTTTTTTTTAAAACATTTATAACAAGAATAAATAATTTAATAATATTTTGTTTCTATGTTGCCTCTAATAAACAATTTTTATCTTTTATACAAAATGTTAATTGTATAATACTAAAAATCGTATCACACTTAAAGTATCACATTGGTTTTTATTATATATCAAAAATTTCTTTTCTCCGATTTTATTTTTTCGATAAAAAAAAAATATTAAAAATCTATCTCTATGTCCTTGAACCTTCTGCCCTTGGTTCCTCAACATCTCCATCTTGTTCGATTTCATTCCATTTTTGTATTTCTCCACTTCCACCAACAAGAAAGATAATCATGCTGAAAATGCATACAGCAGCACCAATCCAAAATAATATTTGCCACCTATCAATTGGATTCTAAAGACAAAAATATATACTTATATTTTATTCAAATAAAAGATTAATCAAAAAATAATATAGGGTGTCTGAAAAAATTAGAATCAAACTTACATATACGTAAGTTTGTAACATTTTCAGGTACACCCTATAAACGCATAAAAAAAAAACAATGTTCTAATAAACAAATAAAATATGATTGTATTATATAATCAAATAAAAAGTCATTGGAAATGTTAAATAACTACAATTATTCAATTAATTTTGATATGTTTTGTAGATAATAATTTTCTTGGTTAATTAAAAAAAATTTATTATTACTTATATTTCTTTTTATTTCATATTTACTTCAAAGTCATTTAAATAAATTGTACATATTTCTCAGCTATTTATTATATGATAATCATAATTAGTTTAAAAAAAAAGGATATTATTAACAAAATTATCATTTTTGATAATAAAAAATAATTATAGAGATATCACATCAAATTTTCAATATCTTTTAATCAAACTTTTTAAGAAACAAAATGTTATATTTTAATGTATTTTATTGAATGATGATTGAATGAGTTATTCTCTTATTCCAGATAGTGTTTTTAATATCGTAAGTTTGTAAATTTTCTCTATTGCATTAATTTTGCTCCTTATTGTATACTACAAATGTACAATTACTTTTAATATATTTGGAATATACTATTTCAACATATTTTAGGCGCACTACCTTTCTAATCTAATAACTATACACAATATAATATGAATTTGATGAAAGAAAACTAGCATAATAGTGTTAACCTTTTAGTTGAAAATGATGATTAAACTCGTACTTTAAAGATGACGGGAGTAAATTTAAATTTGATAATATAATGATAAATTATAAAAAAAAAAAAAATATATATATATATATATATAATATAAATATCATTAATATAATTAATATAAATTAAAATACAAATATTATAATATAAATTAATATAAAATATAAAAATATTAATAAATAAATATAATATAAATATATGATAATATAATATAATTTTTTTTTTTTTTTTTTTTAAATATGTATTTGTAATCTTTATTTTATAATAATTGCATAAAATGCAAATAGTTACTTTATGTATATTAATTATTATTACATAAAATCTTTATACTTGGGTATATTACAGCAACAGTAAACGAATTCAATTGCTGATAGGATAAAACGTTTAGAATTTTACTATTATCCATTTTTATATTGAAAAGATAATCAATTTAATTTTATTTTCACTACAAAATACGAACAAATGATTTTAAATATTATCTATAATAATAATATTGGATAATAAAGAATAGTATCAAGAACATTGAATACGTAAAAAAGAATTCTGTACAAAATTTCAATATACAATTATTAAATAAAACTCGCGTATTATCGAGATACATAATATAATACAAGATAATAACAAATTGTTTGATACAAGAGAGCAATTGTTTTTTTTTTTTTTTACGAAAGAATCACGGAAATCACATATTTAACGAAATAATACGGCACGTGTTAGAAGATACACAAGTATTGTGATGTTAAATATGTACAAAAAAATTTTACACTCAAAACACACGTGTACAATGTCACAGCACGGCACGTAATATGAGATACACAACAACGTAAAACGTAGTATCAAGGTTTATACAGAAAAGAATTTTTATACAAAAGGCACGTGTTGATATTATAGTTCAATATGACACACTTTTGGAGATTAATATAATAATAAAACAAATACAGAACAGAACACTATCTAATTATAAAGAAGTAGAATATATAAAAAATGAATTTTATATGCAAATATTAAAAATTGCTTGTGAAATATTATGAGATAAATAACATAATAATAATAATAATAATAATAATGAATAGTAAAAAGGGTTTGACATGAAAGAAGCAATTTTCCATGAAAAACACATTTCTGTATTATAAGATAGATAATAAGATATATCTGTATTATAAAATAATACAAGACAGTGTAAACTATTATTTAGTTTCTTAGTATTAGACATGCAAAAAAAAATTACTTCATTTGCAAAGCATTTAAGTAAAAAACTATTTAAAATCATCAGTAGTAGAAAAAAAAAAAAGTAATTTACAAGATGTATACTAATGCAATTTTACATTACAACATGTGTATATAATATATAAATACATTAAATATATGTATATATACACTTTTAATAAAATATTACGATTAAACAAATATTTAACAAACTTTACTGTAAACCTTCAACCAAGGATGATTCTAAAAAGGAATATTTGAATTTTATTAGTCAGAACAGCTAGTTCTAGTAGCTTCTTTACTTTTGCTTTGGCATAACTTTATACCACAAATATTTTCCCTATTAGTGAAAAAACTCACTACGGAGACTAACTAGAAGAAAACGAACGGAACACGTCGAAACAGTAGGATAATGCATTGACGTAGGCGTTCAAATGCTTTTTTATTCACGAGTTAACCGTAAAATATATATATATATATATAAGTATGTTAATCGTAAATATAAAGATCTTACGACTTTGTTAGAAAAGAAAATCAGAAAGTTGGAATAAATGGAGTGAATGTATAGTTTCTCTTGCTTCTGTGTATCCCAAACTCATTTCAGATTAACAATAAGATCAATAATGTATATGTAAACGTTAAATTATATAATTCAATTTAATTGTAAAATCTTCAAGTTTGATCAAAAATAATTAGAAATTTTGAAGAAAGCATATCAATAGAATTTTATTATATAACAATTGTTCTATTGATTTAAGGGATTAAATTACATTTCTTTTAAATATTGTAAAAACGACAATAAAATTAACGAGAACAATGAACTCTCGTAGATACATAAATTCTAATTAAAAGAAATAAAAAAAGAAAAGAATAAACTAAAAGATATAGTTTTATATTTTTAAATTCTTACAAATTTCTTGTAGATTTTTTCCCCAAAAATATCTACTTATTAAAAAAGAAAAGAATAAACTAAAAGATATAGTTTTATATTTTTAAATTCTTACAAATTTCTTGTAGATTTTTTCCCCAAAAATATCTACTTATTTTATTTTTATTTTTATTTTTAAAAAACAAAAAATATATTGGTTCATGGTTGACTGACTGACTAATAACAATTATATTGCTTATCATAAAATTTGTTATACAAGGTACAAACGTATTGTACACTTAACATATCTTCAACACAAATGCACTGTAATTATGTGGTCTAATAAAAAAAATAACTGAGAATAACTATTATTTACACAAAAGCAAAAGACACGAAAATAATTAAGATTGTAATAATCATTGGTAACATTGGTAAAGTTATTGAAACACTATTTGGTATATAAACGATGTTCCAGAAGATTCTTAATGAACTTCATAAGCATATTTCTATAATTAAAATAATGCAAAAAAAACAAAATTGAAATCACTTTGTTTTTAAATTACAGGCTGTCAACAATTATCTTATTTTTTATACCGTTATATGGAATTTCCAAACGTGTACATAATCTTCGAGCATTAGTAGATTTCGCTACTATATACAAGGAAAACCTGTTCATGATAATTTTTTTTTTACCGTTTCGATATTACTTTAAATGTTCCTCTTTCCTGTAGTTGTCAGTGAATATCTTAAACATACTTGTTTATTTTAAGAATCTTTCTATTTAGAAATAATCGACGATTTTCCTTCAACAGCTTTCGTTAAATTGCTATTACAATAATCCTATGTATATATCATTTAAATATCTGCATATGACTCATATATAATTATATGATATTTTTCTTCTACTATAGTATTATAAGCCATTTTTTGATTAGGTCTAACTGAAGCTATTATGTGATTAGATTA